CCATCACTCCTCCTCCACACTCTCCAAAATATAACTTTTTACCACCATTTTCTGAAGAATAAAATCACCATAACACACAAACATACATTACAGCCCACTAGGTCGTGTCACCCGTATACAATAAGGAGGATTTTCGACCTTAAAGGGGTGTGTATATCATGCTTGGTGTTTTGAGTCACTCTCCCACCACTTAATGCCATCCATCCATAAGGCTCACGTAGACGGGTCAATATAGTGCCATGTCACCAGCTTCAGGCACGTATTCAAAGAGGTGCCACAACTCCACCCCATACACCCCCACCCACACCCACCCACACTACACCCACACTACACCCACCCCCCCACCCACCCCCACACAAACACCCACCCACACCACCCACCCACACACCCACACCCACCCCCAAAAATATATAAAATTATTGAAAGTTACAATATATATATATATATGTGTGTGTGTGTGTGTGTGTGTGTGTGTGTGTGTGTGATATACGAATCTCAGAAGAATTGTCCACGATTTTTTTGGGGAATTAATCATAGCCTCCCTCCCCACTACCTCCTCCTCCCTCTCCCCTCCTCCTGCCCTACTGACCACCCCCAGGAGGTGACACATCCATCTTCATCCATTAGCCAACAGCTGGCACCTCCGTAACTCACATTTATTTTCTGATATGTGGAGGAAAGAAGGTGGTGAGTGATATTGGGTTAGGCTAGGTGAGGCATAACTCTCTCTCTCTCTCTCTGGTTTAAGCAATTTAATCTTCTTAAATCTTAAAACAAATTCTAAAAAATACTTACAGTGATGTGTGTGTGTGTGTGTGTGTGTGTGTGTGTGTGTGTGTGTGTGTGTGTGTGTGTAGTCATCCTTTTTCCCGTCTGTCTGTCTGTCTGTCTGTCTTGTCTGTCTGTCTGTCTGTCTGTCTGTCTGTCAGTCTGTGTAGGTTAACTCAACGACACAGGTTCAGGTGTACAGCCTTGGGACCAGAGTATACAGGGAGGGGAGTGTTGTGGTCAGGGACGGGGGATGGGATGGCAGGAACAGGTGTGTGGAAGAGACAAGTGGAACAGGTGTGTGGAAGAGACAAGTGGAACAGGTGTGTGGAAGAGACAAGTGGAACAGGTGTGTGGAAGAGACTAGATTAATGATTACAGACTGAGGCAGAACAATACATTACGACACACACACACACACACACACACACACACACACACACACACACACACACACACACACACACACGATACAATGAGATTTACATAATGGAATGAACTTGACGGGACAGATAAATGGAACAGGTGTATGAGAGGATGAATATTAATTACTTTCACACTGATGGTGATGATGGTGATAATATGATGATGATGATGATGATGGTGATAATATGATGATGATGATGATGATGGTGATGATGGTGATGATGATGGTGATAATATGGTGATGATGATGGTGATGATGATGATGATGGTGATGGTGATAATGGTGATAATATGGTGATAATATGGTGATGATGATGGTGATGATAATTCTCTAGGAAACAGGAAGGTGTGTCTGTAGGGAAGGACTTTACCGGACAGGTGGTAAAATTACAGGTGTGCGCAACAGGTGTGTGAGAGACTAACGCAACAGGTGTGTGAGTGTACTGTAATCACCTTCACATCGTTCTTAATAAAACTAATACTGCTAAAAGCCCTCCAGGCATCTTGTAAGGGGGGCGTATACTGTACATAGGTGACCCGTCTCCCTGCCTGTCTGTCTGTCTCGCTCTTTTACACACACACACACACACACACACACACACACACACACACACACACACACACACACACACAGTAAATCCCTAACTGATTGCAGTACATCTTCCCTCTGTGTCTGTCACCCTCACACTAAGACCACTTGCGACGCCCGTCCTCAGAGGGTTGTAGGTGATAGCCCACCCTCCCTCCCTCCTTCCTCCCTCCTTCCCTCCCTCCCTCCTCCCTCCCTCCTTCCCTCCCTCCCTCCTTGAGTGAAGTAGTTCGTCTCTCTGAGGTAAGTACGTAATTGAATAATGGTGGACAGTGTGGCGTCGGTATTGCACTGAGACTACCTTAACACAAGTAATTATCAAAATTTCAACATTTCGACCACGATCCTTAATCAGCGTGTCGAGGAAGGCCTATACGGTACTGAGATTTTGAGAAAAAATAATGTTTTGACCACCCAAAATTCCAGGGTTTATACACCATGTGAGTTTTTGTTTAAAAAATATTAATGTGTCCTCGACACGCTGATTAAGGATCGTGGTCGAAATGTTGAGATTTTGGTGATTACTTCTGATTACTAAGTGTTTTCATACAATTAACATAATTATCTAAACTTCATAATCTGTGGTACTATTAAGGTCGTGGATTGGGATCATTTTGAAGATTAACTCACATCTAGTTGATCTCTCTCTCTCTTCTTGCACCCATCAATCCATCCCGCGTGTTGCATCAGGACCACCATATGACACCCCCACTTTCCTTCCCCTCCCTTTCCTCTCCCCTCCTTCCCACTCCCCTCATTCCCCTCCTCTCTATTTCCCTCTCCTCCCTTCCTCTCCTCTACACCATCACCATCAGTAAAACAATTTTCTTCCTACAGCCTTTAATAGTGGACGAACCCGCGTTAGTCAGGCCAGATCGTCCACTCCACCATCCTTCGTCCACTCCACCATCCTTCGTCCACTCCACCATCCTTCGTCCACTCCACCAGCCTTCGTCCACTCCACCATCCTTCGTCCACTTCACCATCCTTCGTCCACTCCACCATCCTTCGTCCACTCCACCATCCTTCGTCCACTCCACCAGCAGACACTTCCCAGCTTTTCCTTCAGATCAATCTATGGGTAAGTTATCCACTCAAGTCTTCGCGCGTCCCCTAGGGCTCTGGTGACGCTTGTAGGGGGTGGAGAAGGAAGGAGGGGGGTAGGAGAGGATAGAGAAGGAAGAGATGAGAGGGAGGGGGAGGAAGGAGGAAGAGAAAGAAGGAGGAAAAGAAGGAGAGGGACATGAGTGAGTATTGTGAGTAACGAATGAGTATTGTGAGTAACGAATGAGTATTGTGAGTAACGAATGAGTAGTGAATAACGAATGAGTATTGTGAGTAACGAATGAGTATTGTGTAACAGATGAGTATTGTGAGTAACGAATGAGTATTGTGAGTAACGAATGAGTATTGTGAGTAACGAGTAAATGTGTTTGAGACGAGTATGATAAAGTTTCGAAGCTCTAATTCTCTATCTCGTTCACTCATCACCCGACCCCCATCCCCTCACACCTGACTCATCAACTGAGGACCCATTTTTGACTTACAACCTCATGAATATATTGCCTTCCTCACCCAATGTTTACCAAGTCAATCCTGAATCACCATCCGGGGGGGGGGTGGGGGTCGTATTGATTTATGTCTACGAATTAGCATATTGGGAATCATTTACATGGGTTCGAATCATTTACATGGGTTCGAATCATTTACATGGGTTCGAATCATTTACATGGGTTCGAAGCATTACATGGGTTCGAAGCATTACATGGGTTCGAAGCATTACATGGGTTCGAATCATTTACATGGGTTCGAATCATTTACATGGGTTTGAATCATTTACATGGGTTCGAAGCATTACATGGGTTCGAAGCATTACATGGGTTCGAATCATTTACATGGGTTCGAATCATTTACATGGGTTCGAAGCATTACATGGGTTTGAAGCATTACATGGGTTCGAAGCATTACATGGGTTCGAAGCGTTTCATTGCCTCATGGAGCTCAGATTCGTTTATAGATTGTATTGTTGACGTTGGTGTTATGATGCTGTTAGTGAGCTTCATCAACTAGGTCATTAAACAGGTAACAAGGGTGGTAATTAAACTAGACCATCAACAATAAAAACAATGAAGGATTAACAAGTCTCTGTATTCATCTTTAATACACACACACACACACACACACACACACACACACACACACACACACACACACACACATGCACACATGCACACGTCTCTCATATTTCAGGGCAGGAGAGAGGAATGACTCCGATACAAACACAATCTGTTACTCGAAATTAGCGCCAATGTAACTTTTTGGGAGGGAGAGTGAAATATAGATACGTTGGTGAGTCTCGTTCGTTATAGTGAGTCTCGTTCGTTATAGTGAGTCTCGTTCGTTATAGTGAGTCTTGTTCGTTATAGTGAGTCTCGTTCGTTATAGTGAGTCGTTCGTTATAGTGAGTCTTGTTCGTTATAGTGAGTCGTTCGTTATAGTGAGTCTCTTTCTCAGGCAGTTGTGTGAGCTGGGAGGTGGTGAGCTGGGAGGTGGTGGCTGGGAGGTGGTGGCTGGGAGCTCTTCTCACCTGTAACCCAATAAGAGGCCACAATACCTGCAGTTATTAACCTTTCCTCACACCTGTATACTGTATATCTCTCCCGTGTATACAGATCTTCAGTACTGTGTGTGTGTGTGTGTGTGTGTGTGTGCTTGCTGACACCTCAAGTACACACATATCACTCCTCCCTCTCCCTTCCCTCTCCACCTCTCTCCATCTGTCAGCTTACGCCACTGTCAGCTTATCCAGTGTCAGTTTATCTACCGTCAGCTTAACGAGTGTCAGCAGGTCAAATAACAGCTAATTTTGTATACTTCTGTCAGCTGCTGTTGTCTCACTTGATTCTTCTGTCAGCACCAGGTGGTCTGCTGTCATCTGGTGCCTACGGTGGGTGGGGGGGGGAGGGTGAGTGGGGGTAGTGGGGATAATCTGAGACGCGATGGGAACCTTTTGAGTATTCGGCAGCAGTTGAGGTGTGTGTGTGTGTGTGTGTGTGTGTGTGTGTGTGTGTGTGTGTGTGTGTGTGTGTGTGTGTGTGTGTGTGTGTGTGTGTGTGTGTGTGTGTGTGTGTGTGTGTGTGTGTGTGTAAAGTCATAAGAGGTGATATTGGCTGTTGACTATGACGATAATTTTGAGAGTTAGGGAAGGAAGGCAGGAATGAGCACTCCTACACGCCTTCAGCACTCCCTACACGCCCTCAGCACCCACTACACGCCCAGCACCCTACACGCCCTCAGCACTCTACACGCCCTCAGCACCCACTCACGCCCTCACACGCCCTCTCCCTACACGCCCTCAGCACCCACTACGCCCTCAGCACTCCCTACACGCCCTCAGCACGCCTCAGCACCCACTCACGCCCTCAGCACCACCACGCACGCCCTCAGCACTCTTCAGCACGCCCTCAGCACTACCCCCTACACGCCCTCAGCACTCCCTACACGCCCTCAGCACCCACGCCCTCAGCACCCTCACACACGCCCTCAGCACCCACTCACACGCCCTCAGCACCCTACACGCCCTCAGCACGCCCTCAGCACGCCTCAGCACCCCTACACGCCCTCAGCACCCCACACGCCCTCAGCACCCACTACACGCCCTCAGCACCACTACACGCCCTCAGCACTCCCACGCCCTCAGCACCCACTACACGCCCTCAGCACTCCCTACACGCCCTCAGCACTCCCTACACGCCCTCAGCACCCTACACGCCCTCAGCACTCCCTACCCTCAGCACCCACTACACGCCCTCAGCACCCACTACACGCCCTCAGCACTCCCTACACGCCCTCAGCACCCACTACACGCCTTCAGCACCCACTACACGCCCTCAGCACCCAACTACACGCCCTCATCACCATCACTATATAAAGCAGCACTGTGGCAGGTATACACACACGTCTCCCAGCACCAGGGACTAAATCTGATTTGTGTAGGAGAGTAGATGGTCGTTCACGGCTGTTAGGCTGTCTCATATATATACACCTGTACTGTGTCTCTCTGTGTTTGTGTCCGTTTTTCTGTCTGTCTGTTATCCCTTCTCTCCCTTTCTCTTGTCCTTTCCCTTCCTCCCACACCTCCCTTCGTCTCACCCTCCTCCTTCACCTCCCTCTCCCTCCTTCATCTCCCTCCTTCCTCCCTCCCTTTTCACCCCCCTCCTCCCCCCCTCAGCTCCCAAGATCAACAACAGGAGGCAATATCAGGCCTGTGTTGACCCTAACACAAGTCCCCACAGCTCCTCCCCTGAATGACACATACACACACACACCTTTGGTCTTTGGATGACCAATATTTGACCTTGTGTGACCTACTTTTGACCTTGGATGACATGTGTTTTGACCTTTGACCTTGTCTGATTTACAAGGTCCTGTGAATTTGTATCATTTATATTTAACGTCTGATCTTGGTTTAATTCAGTGTGTGTGTGTGTGTGTGTGTGTGTGTGTGTGTGTGTGTGTGTGTGTGTGTGTGTGTGTGTGTGTGTGTGTGTGTGTGTGTGTGTGTGTGTGTGTGTGTGTGTGTGTGTGTGTGTGTGTGTGTGTGTGTGTGTGTGTGTGTGTGTGTGTGTGTGTGTGTGTGTGTGTAAATTAACCTTTTTTCCTCACCTGTCCTACTATAAGTTGTCTGATATTTTAAACAACAACAACAACTATACATGTTGAGTTATGTCAGTCATAAAATATTGTCAACAACCCAAATTACAGGTTATTGGTTCAGGGCCTCTCCATAATTTGTGTAAACATGAAAAAAAAAAACATTTTTATCATCAGTATTTCCAAATCAGAGGGGCACAAGTCACACCGAAGCTCCAGGGGCCTTGTTAGAAACGAATATTAGAGCAAATTGGACTTAATTAACCCCCAGAGGTAATAAATAAACCACCTCACCAATAATTAATATCACACATTCCCTCAAATCTGGACATCATTCATCACGTATTAAAGAACTGAAGGAATTTCTCTCTCTCCTACCCCAGGGAGTTGATCAGCTGCTCTGTTGGATTATTACCACTGGCGCCTCTAGTGTGCATATTGGCTCTGTTTACACCTGAGCAACAATACAACACCATAAGCACCACTACACCACTTTCTCTCTCTCACACACACACACACACACACACACACACACACACACACACAATATTCAACAACAGCTGGACAAGTGTACAGTGTTCTTGAGAGAGGTACAGTAAGGCGAGTGAAATAATTCCTACAGTGGCTATAGATCTACCCATTACATTACCTGTTCAGCCCAGCAACACAGTGACTGGTGGGTAGTGTGTGTGTGAGACAGAGTGTGTGAGAGAGTGTGTGTGAGAGAGAGAGTGTGAGAGTGTGTGTGAGAGAGTGTGTGTGAGAGAGTGTGAGAGAGAGTGTGTGTGAGACAGAGTGTGTGAGAGAGAGTGTGTGAGAGAGAGAGTGTGTGAGAGTGTGTGAGAGTGTGTGAGAGAGAGTGTGTGAGAGTGTGTGAGAGTGTAAAAGTAGGTCATTGTAGTTTAATGGGAACCACAGCAGGACATGACAGAATGGCTTCATCCTGTACCAGACAGTGTGTGTGTGTGTGTGTGTGTGTGTGTGTGTGTGGTCGTGACATCACCCCATAAGAGTCACTATGAGATTTTAACGACTTAATACTGTACAATGGCGTAACCACTCTTAGTTAATGACGCTGTTATGGTTATTCATTTGAGCGTCACCATCACCACGGGGCTCAACCAGCGCTCTAGTGTCTCACATACACTGAACGTCTTTAACTGTGTACCCGTTAACGCACTCTACACCCAGCTGACCTCACCAACACACTCAGGAAATCACAAAGGCCGTCACTCACCCGGCGTTAATTGGTGGCCTATGCTCCAAACCCCGTCACTCCCCCGCCTGGTGAGTGACCGCGCTATGCACAAACCATGTCACTCAGCTGCCATAAGCGGGTGCCACTCTGGGGGGTGTGTGTGGAAGGGGGGGTCGTCACTGTTATCGGATGAACCAAAATTGTTATGTGAGGTGCAGGAAATATTGTCCAAAGAAAAGATTATATATACTGTACCTCAGATGTTGGGTTCACCTGAAGATTGGCCCCCCCACCACCCCCACCACCCCTCCCCACCACCTCCCATCACCCCCACCTCACCACCCCACCTCACCCCCCCACCCACCCCACCCACCCCAGTTTATAGGTTGGGTTTAAGCTTATATATGACTTGTTGATATATATTTAGTTCTATATCCAGGTTGTGTAAGAGCGTTGTGTCTGTAGCCGTGTATCCAGGTTGTGTTGTTGGTGTAATGATCTGGCAGACAAGATGACAGATTATAATTAAGGTGAAGATAGGTGTGTGTGTGTGTGTGTGTGTGTGTGTGTGTGTGTGTGTGTGTGTGTGTGTGTGTGTGTGTGTGTGTGTGTGTGTGTGTGTGTGTGTGTGTGTGTTTGTGTGTGTGTGTGTGTTCTGGGCAGCCACAAGACGTTGAGTGTATGTACAGCCGTGAGGATCTTACAGGTGAGCGTCTTATGGGAGGTAGAGCATCGTCTGAGGTGATTGGGATGTTGCCATAGTGATGAAGACTCTCTCTCTCTCTCCCTCTCTCTCTCCTCCTCCTCTTCCCCTTCTCTTCCGTGATTTATATTTCTTCTGGAGTGATTGAAGAGGTCAGTCAAATCACGTGGTTTTCTCAACAATTTTATATGATTAGATAAAAATAATAATTTACAACACTCAACTTTACCGATGAGGAACTAAGGCTATCGAGTACAGTGCCTGATATAATGCCTCTACTGAAAGCCTTATTGTACAGGGCATTATATCCTATTATGTCCTCATTATCACGTTTACAAGTCAGATGATGATTTTTTATGAGACTTAACCTTCCTTGTATGAGTTGAAGTCTAGAGGAGGGGGGGGGGAGGTCTTATATTCCTTGTGAGTTTAATTAGGTGTTCCAATATTACGGCGGGAACTTGTATCACCCCCCCCCCTGCCTACCATGGTGTCGATCACTAATGATTTGGTCAACATAAAATTTTTCTTCTCGTTATAATTATGTTCCCTGTTGGCTCGAGCTACAAGGAAGAGGAGGATAAAGTAATGGTGCCTGTCTGTCTGTCTGTAATCACGCATTGTCTGTAATCAAATGTCTTTGTAATATTAAGGTTAGGTTAGGTTCATTCTGTGTTTTTGTTCTTTTTTCATGTTCTGTTTCATTGTTTATTTGTATTTTATAATAATAACAATGGCTGCCTTTACCTGTGGGACATTGACGTTAATAAAAGTCGGAAGACAAACCGTGTGAGGTGGAGCGCGGGGCCGGACACTGTATGCAAAGATTGTGTGTGTGTTCAGAGTATGATGAATAATTTACGCTAAAATATAATACTCGTCCAATATCGCCTTTAAACAACAGCCAACGCCTTTAAAGACTCACAATACTGAACAATGATATATTTAATACAATCATAAAAAACGATGGAGTGTGTCAGAGCGGGGGAGACTGACCTAAACTCAAACTAAAAAAAGGTGCCACTCAGAGAACCCTTACTGTACTGACAAAGACTCACTACATGTAACGAACAGTTTTTTGTGTAATGTTGAAGAACTTGATAAAGTCGGGAGGTAAAAATCCCTCTCCCTTCCTCCCTCTATCCCTCTCACCCCCCTCCCTTCCTCCGACTCTCCCACTCACCCTCCTCCCCCCCCCGATTCTGAAAGTTATTGTAGTGTAAAAAGCTGCCGATAGATGGCCCTCCTCCCACGGATGGTTGTGTTGCTAAGTGACGGAGCGTAAACGTGTGGGTGTGTGTTGGTAGTGGAGGGGCGTCAGTGTGGGTGGGTGTTGGTAGTGGAGGGCGTCGGTGTGTGGGTGTGTTGGTAGTGGAGGGGGCGTCGGTGTGTGGGTGGGTGTTGCAGGAGGGGCGTCGGTGTGGGTGGGTGTTGGTAGTGGAGGGGCGTCGGTGTGTGGGTGGGTGTTGGTAGTGGAGGGCGTCGGTGTGGGTGGGTGTTGGTAGTGGAGGGCGTCGGTGTGGGTGGGTGTTTGTAGTGGAGGGCTTCGGTGTGTGGATGTGTTGGTAGTGGAGGGGCGTCGGTGTGTGGGTGGGTGTTGGTAGTGGAGGGGCGTCGGTGTGGGTGGGTGTTGGTAGTGGAGGGCGTCGGTGTGGGTGGGTGTTGGTAGTGGAGGGGCGTCTGTGTGGGTGGGTGTTGGTAGTGGAGGGGCGTCGGTGTGGGTGGGTGTTGGTGGTGGCGGTGTGTGGATGTGTTGGTAGTGGAGGGCGTCGGTGTGTGGGTGGGTGTTGGTAGTGGAGGGCGTCGGTGTGGGTGTTGGTAGTGGAGGGGCGTCGGTGTGGGTGAGTGTTGGTGGTGGAGGGGCGTCGGTGTGGGTGGGTGTTGGTAGTGGAGGGGCGTCGGTGTGGGTGGGTGTTGGTAGTGGAGGGCGTCGGTGTGGGTGGAGTGTTGGTAGTGGGTGGGTGTGTGTGCAGGGCGTCGGTGTGGTGGGTGTTGGAGTGGAGGGCGTCGGTGTGTGGGTGTGTTGGTAGTGGAGGGGCGTCGGTGTGGGTGGGTGTTGGTAGTGGAGGGGCGTCGGTGTGGGTGGGTGTTGGTAGTGGAGGGGCGTCGGTGTGGGTGGGTGTTGGTAGTGGGAGGTATGATTGTTTGGATGGTGTGTGATGATGACGGTAGTATTTGTACTCTTGGTAGTAGTAGTGACCTGGGTGTACAGTACACTTTAAAGGGAATATCTACACCCGAGAGAGACAGCCGCGGGTGTTGTAATCAAGCGAGTGTCTTAATTTAGTCCTTACAAGTCTCAAGTTTTTAATCTGGTAACTCGTGTAAGATGGCGGACCTTTTGTTCGATAGATTATGAAGGAATTTAATTAAAACC